ACGACATATCCATCCTGTGGAATTTGGTATGTCTGCAGGTGGATATGGCTATTGAAGAGATTTGAGTAGAAGTCATGGACAATCTTCTCCATTGCCATTCTGGAGGATGTGACAGATCCATCAAGACGTCGGAGGGCAGTCATCTTGGTCTTGTAGTTGGCGAAGGACAGGTAGGCATTACGAATACTTTTCCCAGCTTCTGCCCTATCTACCAGCACTGCTGCTCTTCTTTCTTTGAAGTTTTCCTTATTCGAATCTCTGCACTGCTTTGCGAGCTCAGATGTTCACTTGTGGTTGCCTGAGGCATGTGCCCAACCATGTTAGCGAATAAGCTCAGGAGTTTTTGAAGACAGGCTTTTTTTGTGGCTATCTCTCTCTTGGCATTCCTCACACAATCATGGAGGTGCTGAACCAGTCAATCGTATTACTCGCCAATGTTGTCAACAATGGCATCTTCCCATGTTGCCCCAATAGTGCCAAAGAGATCCCAGTTGGTGGTCGTTCTGGGAGTTCTCTTCTTAAACTTTGCAGCCCTTTCTCCCCGCTCTGTGAAGTAGAATTTTGCACGAAGGAGACGGTATTCTGATCCCGTTTGGAATTTTGGGACAACAGCGGCATCGGTTAGGCAAAACCATCAATTGAATATGATTTGGTCTATTTCGTTGTGGAATCATACACCAGGAGACTCCCATGTCCAACGTTTAGATTTGGCCTTCTGGAATCTTGAGTTACCATGGATGGTCTTGGTCGACATGATGAACTCAGACAGTCTCTCTCTCACACTGTTCGTTCCATTCTAGGCCATGGGTCCCGATGTGAAATTCTTCAGCTGATCTTCTTGGTCCTATCTTGGCATGAAAATCACCCACAATGATCTTGTAGAAGGTGTGGTCTTCTTTATAGAACTTCTCCAGCTCCATGTAGAACTTCTCATTTTCTCCTTCATCATAATTTTATGTTGGTGCATAGATTATGAAGATAGAAACTGCTGGCAGTGAGCTACATCTTTTCAAATGTAAACGTCCGATTCGGGTTGTTAGGTATTCGAATGAATCAGTGCTCATGGCCAAGTTTGTGTTGACAAGGACACCAACGCCTCCGACACCTCTTTTATCACATGTTCCCAGGAACAATTCTTCTACAGTGTTGAAAATGGCCTGATGAGATTGGTGCCTTCTTGTCTCGGTCAGACCAATGATGTCGTACTTGATCTTTCATGCTTGTACCATCAGGTCCTCGATGGATGCATCTGATGCTAGTGTACGTGCATTGAAATTACATACAACGTATTCAATATGCCAAAAAAACTGTAAGAAGTCTCACAATGGAGACGCTACTGGTGCCCACTCAAGCAAAATTGTTGGACAACAGGAGGACAGCCCTACAGTGCTATTAATTTGCCAATAAATGTATTAGATGTTTTAAAGACTGTGTTCCTAATAGATATTCTTTTAAGAATTCTAAATGAGTACGTGAAGTGGTATATTCTGATATCTGTATATTTATAAAAATCTTTTGGGGCTGGAGCAATAGCACAGCAGGTAGTGTGTTTGCCTTGCACGCGGCCAACCAGGGTTTGATTCCCAGCATCCCATATGGTCCCCTGAGACCTTCCAGGGGTAATTCCTGAGTACATAGCCAGGACTAACCCCTGTGCATCACCAGGTGCCCCACCCCCAAAACAAATCTTTTACCAGTTGTGTTACTGAATCAAAAACTAAAATTATTAATGTAAAAATGATGCAGAGTCCTAGATCAATTTGCCATTTACTTTCTAGCTGGCTATAAGGATCTTAATAAAAATCAGGTTGTACCTTAATCATATAAACTTTATAAAGATGGTTTCATAAGAGGTTTTTAAAGATAACCTGCATTTCAAGTGTTCACATACAGAATGGGAGAACATAATTTTTTTTCTGTTTAAGTCCAGGTAATAAATATTTTCAGCTTTGGAAGCAGTCTTGTTTAATTGCCACTACTAAACTTCGCCCCTTAGCTTGAAATCAATTATTGAAAAGATCAACATAAGTGTGTCTTCATTTTTAATAGAATGATCTTGTTAAAATATAGAAGAAGGTTGGGGCCAAAGTGATGATACCACAGATAGAACATTTTCCTTGCAAGTGGCCAACCTGGCATCTGCCCATGTGGTCTTCCTAACCTGCCAGGACCAATCCCTGAACTCAGAGCCAGGAAGACACCCTGAGCACTGCAAGATTGTGAGCCAATTTTTTTCTTAAATAGACTAGACTATCCTCTAGGACAAAAAGTAAACAACAGCTTTAAGTTGTTTTTGTTATTTATCATTTCAATTGTTTTTGTATATTAAAATACTAGTAACTTAAAGAGATTTGGGCACAAGTGCCATATTTTTTCAAAAGTAAAACTTTGTATAAAAAAGCTTTATACAATGATTGTGATAACAGGTTCTTTCAACTTGTGTTTTGGGGATGCCTACTTATTTTCTCTCTATTTCTGCTCTGCTCCTCCATCCCCTTAATTAACCACATTTCTCCACACACACAACATACACACAAGTGAAATGACCAATATTTATGCAGGAAGGTTGACTGAGCAGCTGTTGTTCTCAGCTATCTAAATGTTAAAAAGCGTATTAATCTTTCTTGCCCTTTCTTATTACCCACCAAGGCAGCTTTCAGTGTCATGTAAATTAGACTCCAATGGCTCTGTTTTGACAGTTTAAGAGTCATCTAACATGACTTTTCTTGGTTGGACTATGGGTGGTCCATCTACATCAAGTTCCCCGGGAGAATAATTAGAAACCATCAAACAGTAGATTTCTCTATGACTACGAACTCATATGGTATAAGAACAGCATTTTAGAGAATCAATTGCAATGTAGAGGAAAAAGGAATAATTTCCATTTACTTATGTGGAATTTTCTTATGGGTCTTCTGGGACTGGCCTTCCTCCTGAAAGAGGATGGGGCCTGGGAAACTTTTAAAGCACACAACGTAAAAGAATCAATGTTGTGCCAATTCCAAAATTAAGCTTAAAGGATGTCTGGAAGCTTCTGTTGGTGCTCTGAGATGCTAAACCTATGCATTTACCAATGCATAATGATCTCCATGTATGATGCATGCTTTACTCTGCAGAGGACCATGTGTTTAGATAATGTGAAAAACAACAGCCAAGGAGTGGGAAGAGGTCCTGAAATTATGTACTCCGAGGGAGAGAGAAGAAAGAAGTTAGGATGGAAAAACCAGGAGACGGATGCCAGACTAGTAGAGAAGTGATGGCACGTTATTAATTTTCAACTGCTCCTACAGCCCCCCTTACCCACCACTCCTGCAGCTGGTTACAGAGAATGAGGTAAACAAACAGACAAATACAAGGGCTGTCTAAGTTTTAGGGTCTCTTAAGCTGTCATAAGTAAGTTCCATGAATGAATATTTATCCAATTTTCTGTTACTCCCTTGTTGTCTAAATTGACAGAGACTTTAAGGACTGTTAGTTAATATATTAACATTCAGCATGAAGATCAGAGCCTGAGGTATTTCTTGTCCATTAGCAGGCACTCTTTTATTTATTTATTTGTTTGTTTGTTTGTTTATTTTAATGAATAATCGTGACATACAGTTACAGACTTACAAATTTTCATGCTTATGTTTCAATTAAACTATGTTCAAGTACCATTCCTCTACCACTGATGTAGTGATATCAGTGGTGCCCATTCTCCACCACTGATGTTCCCAGGGTCCTTCCTGCTGCTCGCATCCCTTTCCAATCCCCTGCCTCTTGTGGCAGACACATTCTGCCTTACTCTTTCTCTCCTTTTGGGTGTTATGGTTTGCAACATAGGCACTAAGTACCATCATATTTGGTCCATAGCCTACTTTCAGCATGCAGCTACCATCCCAAGTGATCCCTCCAACCATCGTTTGCTTAGTGGTCTCTTCTCCATTCCACTTTTCTTTTCCCCCAGCACACAAGATTGACTTCCAAGCCGTGGGGCCACCCTTCTGGCCTTTATCTCGACTCTTCTTAGGTGGTGTTCTCCTATTATGTTACTTTATATTCCACAAATGAGTGTAGTCATTCTGTGTCTGTACCACTCTTTCTGACTCATTTCGCTTAGCATGATACTATCCATGTTGATTCAGCTATATGCAAATTTCAGCAGGCACTCTTAAAGAGTAAAGTCATGAATTTTTTTTATTATATTTTGCCCCTGTTGTCTTCTAGAAAACTCTGTACTGTTTTGTTCTATTCTTTCTTGGACACTAATTTGCAGCCCTCCTCTAATTTCATCTCTTTCGATTCGTTTAATAATTTATCATATTTTTATTATTTCTTTCCTTACGAGTATTTTAAAATAGAACTCTAATTTACTATTTGCTCCAAGGGATAAAGAGTATAGAAAAACATTGCATCTTCTCTGCATCCTGAGCTGGTTGGCAGTGAGATGGCTAAAAACACTAAGAACGTGGAGAACATGGGTAAATAAGGAACGCATATGGCACCTTCCTCTGGAAGATAGTGAAGAAAAGTGAAATAAGCCAGCATGCCAAGGACTCATGCACCTTCTGCGGCAAGACCAAAATGAAGAGATGGACTGTGGGAATTTGGCACTGTAGTTACTGCATAAAAACTGTCACGGTGGTTGGATTGCTCCTGTACCTACAATACCACTTCTCTGTCACAGTTAAATCTACCATAAGAAGACTGAAGGGATTTAAAAACCAATAGACCTGCCATCTGAAGCTTTGCTAGTGCATAGTAAGAGGGTTAATTTATGTAAAGCAAAAACAGAAAAAGAAAAGCTTTGCAGACAACAACAATAAATAGGGCTCAACCTGCTTAGCTGGCACCTTGACCTAGTATGTGTTAACCTGGGGTGAGTGTGTGTGTGTGTGTGTGTGTGTGTGTGTGTGTGTGTGTGTGTGTGCGTATGTGAGAGAGAGAGACAGAGAGAGAGAGACAGAGAGAGAGAGAGAGAATGTGTGTATGAGAGAGACAAAGATAGAGAAAGAGAGAGAGAATATAGAAGAAATATACTACAACTCAACGTCTATTATAAGGTTGGTAGTTCTGACAACTTTGTAATTTTTAATGAAGCATGTTATAGATGTTTTCCAGCCCCCTAAACATCTATTACATTATTTCATGACCTTCCAACTTACCTGGGTACACAGTTGGAACCTATTATAGTCTAACACCCAAACTGCTTACCTAGAAGATTATCCCATCTTGGGTTTTTTGTTAGAGAAAAATAGTCCTAGAATGGTAAATACTACCGATTAGTGAGAGCAGAAAAGTCAAATTAGAACCACTTTGTTAAGAAAATTTAAGGCAGTTTTAGAATCTGGCTTTATTTCTATTTTTTAAATTTATCTTTTAAATATTTTATAAATCTACTATTATAAAAAATAGCCTACTATGTAGCCATATTTCTCTTTGTCATAAACTCTTGTGCATTTTGGTGAGGGTTGTTCTGGGCAACATCTGACTGTGTTTAGTGCTTATTGCTGGCTCTGCTCAGGGATCATTCCTGGTGGACATATACTGTGCCAGAGAATTAACCAAGAATGGCCACATGCAAGGCAAATTCCCTTACCTACTATACCATCTCTCTGGCTTTATTTCTAGACCTCATGTTTTGCCCTCATCATATCATATGTTTTTTCTACAATACAAAATCTCAAACCAAATCCTATTAGTCAATAAAGAAAATTCTATGGCACTCTATTATAATGATCACTATACTACTTTCAGCTGAAAACTTGTTCTCTCATGAATACTTTTCTATACTTTATCCTTTCTGTTTGTAAACTCTATCCCACAGCAAGTAAGAAATCATAAACAAGAATATGATCCACAACATTAATGTGCCTTAAAAGAGGCCTTAACCGCTAACATAATAGGTCTGCAAATTTTTCACTAAAATTAAACACGGAATAAATTTGATAAAGATTATAATCAAATAAAGATTTTTTAATTTAAAAATAAAATAAAGCAGAAGTTAAAAACAACCCAAATTCCAAAAAAAAGAGTGGATATAGAAATTGTGGCAAATAAGTTAATTATATATTTCTATTTTATGTACATACATAGTATTCTATTGCATCTATACTATGTACATATCAACAGTACATAGTGATAGCACAGTGGGTAGGGCGTTCGCCTTACAAGCGGCCAACATGGCCGACCCGAGTTCGATTCCTCTGCCCCTCTCGGAGAGCCCGGCAAGCTACCGAGAGTATTCGATATGCCAGACACAGTAACAACAAAGTCTCCAATGGAGACGTTACTGGGCCCACTCGAGCAAATCGACGATCAATGGGAGGGCCTTTACCTTTACCTTTACCTATAGTATATGTATAGTATGTATAGTGTATATACGCAATTGAATATTAGTGTATATATGTATGTAAATAGAAAAAATAGAATACTAGTCAACTATGAGAAAAGATGAATTCTTCCAGTGTGCTACAACTTGGAAAAAGCAAAACTGAGTGATGTGAGTCATAAAAAAAAAAGAGACAAATACTACATGACCTCACCAACTTGTAGTGTGTGAAGAAAGCAAGCAAGCGATAAGACAGTCTTAACGAAAATAACCCTGAGATGTGGTCAATAGAACTGTTATGTGCAGATACTTGGGTTGGGAATAGAAGGATTTTAGGACAATTGTGGATAGGTCCTGACACTCTGGGATTGGACATGGTATAGCATCACTGTTAAATATAAAATATTATTATTATTGTAACAAAATTCAATACAAGTTAATTATCTTTAAAGAGTAAAGTATAATAATCAAGGTAAGGACCCCTTAACTGTAATACAGTATCCACTGATGGGATGTAGAGAACCTCTTGAAAAATTAAAAATAAATCCACAATCTTAAATTATTTCAGTTTTTCCTGGTGTGATAAAAAGTTTAGTTTGAATCATATTGACAGCACATATTCATAAACTATTAAGTAGCTTACCCAATATTACCAGTGTCTTATCTTCCAAGATATTTTCGTAATAGTTCAGGTTTACTGAGGGATTTAAGTCCAATAGCATAAAATGGGTTATGATACCTTCTTAGACAAGTTATAGAACTTGTGTGACATGAATGTTTGTACCCTAGCTCAGCAAGTCAATGCTATTCAGTCCACTTACATACAGTGGGGACCAGGTTGTTTTGGAATCTAGTCATTTGAGCGTGTTGGCCATCTTTATCTCATTGTTGAGAAATTATCAGTTTGATTAGTCTCCCCATATATTTATGTGGTTCTTTGATGATTAATTTTTGCTGTGAATCAAAAGAGCTTTATATATCTCAGAAATTTAGTCCTTTACCTGATGTGTGGTTTGTGACCTTCTTCCAGTCTCTGGAGAATCATTTTAGTTTTAACGTCATTTCTTTTACAATGAGGAAACATTTTAGTTTGCTGCAGTGCAATTTGTTTATTTTTTGCTTTGGTTTCCTATGCCAATGGGGCCATATCATTGAACGTTCCTCTAAGATCAAAATCTTAGAGAATATTACCTGTTTCCCTTAATATATTTTATAGAAACAGGTTTGATATAAAAAATTCTATTATCCAGGGACTGGAGAGATAGTACAACGGGTAAGGGGTTGCCTCACACGTCACCAACCCAGTTTCAACATTCAGCACCTCATATGGTTCCCTGAGGAGAGTTAGGAATAATTCCTGGGCATAGAGCCAGAAAAAAGCCTTGAGTATCACCATTTGTGGCCCAAACACAAAGGGAAAATAAAATGTCTATTATAATCTAATTTATGTTACCATTTGTGAATGTTGTGAGGAGGGTGCCTAATTTAATTTTTTCTTTCATGTAGCTATGGAAAATCTAGTGTTTTAGCAACATTTGGTTCTCCTTGCTCCACTTTCTACTTCTACTACCTTTACTATAGATTATTTGTTAGTATAACTGAGGTTTCTTCTCACTCTGGGCTCCCAATTTTAGTCTTTTGATCAGATCATCTGTCTTTGTTCCATACAATCCAGTTTCATTTTTATCCACATCCATTCCAATACTTACTTTTGAAGAATTTTTTGTCTTGCTGGCTTTTTTGACATGTCTGTTTGTTCTGGAGTGCTATTCTGGCTCTGTGCTTGAGAATCACTCCCAGGATGCTGAAGGACCACAAGGGTCAGGAGATTGAACACAGCCTCCTCGCTTGCAACACACACACTGATTCCTTTGATCTATTTTGATGGTATAAATCCCTCGCACAGAATATGAAATTAAAAAAAAATAAAGGATAAATGAGTAATTTTAGAGAATCTTTGAAATAAAACCTAAATCAGAAAATAGAGTGTTTTGCATTGAAAAGGATTTGAGACTGAATCACCATGTGTGTCTGTGTGTCTCTGAGTGGATGCCTGTCTAATACCATCTAATGTATTTATAAAGGTTTTATATGAACCTTCTTCAGGTGCTGTGGATTTTAAGGAATGTTAGTTCTTTTGATTCTGTATCATCAACTACATGATAAATACTTTGATCAGAATAATATATGCAACAAGAAAACTTTGGTGATAAAAATATGCTCCAGGATAAAAAAAGATTATAAAAGAACGTCAATTCAGTAATAACTGTATTCTCTGCTGAAGTTTGACAGTAAATTCAGAGGTGAAATGAAAGATTAATTTGTGGAGATGGCAGTTTGGCAGCATGTAATACTGCCATATTGTTTGTCTTGCAAGATAGTGGGTTGCATTTTATTTCTTTATGCATTTATTCACATACTTTCTTTGGTTTCAAAGTGTAAGAAACCACTGCATGATTTTTTTCTTTCACTGCATGATATTACATGGTGCCACTGCACATTGGATGTGGTTATGAATCAATTAGTAAAAGCTTTTCTTGATTGAGAGTAGATTAAACAGTCAACTATGAACAGCTACATTAATGTAGCAAGCCTTGAGAATGAGCAGAAGGGTAAGCCTAATAAAGTATTGAGAATGAGTCTCATGTGTCAATTTGCATGAAGTGATATATACAAGAGGCAGAAAAAACTGCTAGTTTCAGCAGTGGCAATGATTTGAAGGGATAGCAAGGAATAGAAGGAAACATTGTGCAAGTTTCCTAGCCCCACCTAAAGGTTTGGGCATAGGAAATAGTAGAGGCAATCAAAGGTGAAGAGATATGCATTTTCCTCTAGACTTAAAGAAGCAAGGGCTACTGCAAACACGTCATCAGTGATCAAGCAACAAAGTGAGACTAAAAGCTGCATCCCAGTGGTATGGGCAGTATTAAGAGTTGGCACCTGGGCATGGATATGTGTTGCTGATCGACAGACACCAGCAGTAGCAGAGCAAAACATCAGGAATGGAGTAGATATACTAGTATTGGAGCAGATATCAGGAGCAGAGTATAATGACACGATGGAAATACAGAGAATTTCCTGAGAGAACTTTGAACTTTGGTGGAAAATGTCCAAAAACACTTGTAAATCTCTGATTGAAAATCTCAGTGATGCTCAAGTTCTTGGCTGCTTCTCTGAAGGGGCACTGTAACACTGTGTAGCACTGTCCTCCCATTGTTCATCTATTTGCTCCAGTGGGCCCAGTGATGTCTCCATTGTGAGACATATTGTTACTGTGTTTGGCTTATGGAATATGTCATGGGTAGCTTGCCAGGATATGTCATGTGGGTGAGATACTCTCAGTAGCCTGCCAGGCTCTCTGAGAGGAGCGGAGGAATCAAAGCCGCGTGCAAGGCGAACACCCTACCTGCTGTGCTAATACATTTATTCAATCACCTCTGTAGAATTAAAATCTGATTCTCTGAAAAGGGCTCTGTAAAATTTTTTGCTGAAGTGACCTCATTTGTTCACACAGGTGGTGAAGCCTAGGGAAATAAAGACTTCAAAGTGTAGGCCATATAACAGGATTAGAGAAAAATATACTTGAAAAGATAACACAATGCAAATGTAACATGAAAGATGTAAACAACAATAACCCTGGAATCAAAGACAAAATTCAATTCTTAACAAAGATTTGAAGGTGCATTTTATTTTGCATTTTGCCTACAATGGATATCAAATTATCATAGTTTTGGGAAGACCTGCATCTCTTTCTTTTCCTTTGAAGTTTGATCACCTATGTTTATTCCAGAGGCATCCTGCATTTATTATACTAAATGCTGTGAGGCATTTTCACA